CCACAAATTTGATTACTTAATTATTTGGCCGTTGAATTATTTAACATTTTCCTAGCGTTTCTTTGGTTCTCTAAGCAAACTAGAATTTTCATGAAGGCAGATATTACTATGCATTCCTACCTCTCCTCATTGTTGGACCTTAATTAGAAGTGCGTAATTTAACAAAATTCAATTTTTATGTCTGCAAATTCATAATCTTGGCTACATAGAAGAGTCCATGATATGAATCCCAGAAAGGGTAAAAGTAAGGAATAGGAGGCACAGGTCTAGGGGAACAAAGCAACTTGTAACTATAGCTGTTAACATTCTCTTGAGAATCATTCCTGTATATTTTTATTAGTTTTTTTCCACCATAGGGTTGGCTTTATTAGACAAAAAGAGCAAGAGAAATACCTAGTCCTCTCCCTATCCCTTGTTGCTTCATAAAATGAATTTTCTGTTCAGGTATGTGTAGTTTGAACTCAAGAAGATCAGTTACGTAAACCACACACATTAGGTTACAAAGTACACTTTTCTCTTACCTTTTAGTTATTTCAGAATGTAAATTTCTGTAATATTCATCCAGATTATTTTTTACGTTATTAAAAAACTATACCTTAATGTATGTTTTCTTCTTGGATTATGATACCCATATGCATTTTTTTTCTTATGTGTCCATTGATTTTAAATATGAAATAATTTGGGTCTAAAATTTTAGATAGAATATTTTCCTCTTATTGCTTGAAGGCACTCATATCCTGTGTAAAACTTCTATATTACTCTTTGTGGACCCTTGGTATTACTAAAAATCAAAAAAATTAAAAAGAAAATATAACATTAGGTGGAAAATTTATATGTATACTTAAAATATTCATTGTGGGTATCATGAGAATCATATGGAACTAAATGCCTACTTTAAAAAGTATAAATATCGCAAAATCTTTTAAACCTAGCATATGTTTCTTTGAATGAGACTCAGTTTTGAACAGATGTCCCCTTAGACCTGTTATATTAAGACTAAAATTACTAAATCAGCATTAGTTGTTTTTAAGCTTAGGGCCATATTTTGCCACTGATTTTTATTCAAAGCTCCCACGGGCGTCAGTGGAAGATCCATGCATGGAAAAATGGCATAATATGTATCCTAGTTTTATTTATTTCATATGTATACAGCAGTATAAAATAATATATTACATTTACACTCATTTTACTTATGTATTATTATAGCATTCACAGTAACAAACACTATAGTTAAGATTTAAACTCATCTTTTGTTATAATACCCTGTTTTCACTCACAGATAACTGTCTCAAAAATGTGTTTAGAGCAGAAATTCCCTGCTTACTTTCAGCTCTACAATGTACGGATGTATTGGAAGTCTGAGTTCTATCATTCAGAAATTTTTGAGTCTCATGTGAAATATTAATATTTGCATCATTAATGCAAACTTTTCATGCAACTCAAAAACGTCTGAAGTGTAAAACTTCAAACTAAGCATGTGACAAGTTTTCAAGAAATAAAAGTCATTTTCTAATTTTACAAATACTTAAAAAATAACAGTGGTTAGAAATACATGCATGCACACTAAAGGTATTAGAATTTTAGTCATATTATTGCCTGCAATACTCTGGCGGCACCCATCTACCAGCATCCTCATAGAATGCTATAATCTAAAACCTATGCCAAGTTTTAGAAGAAACAAAAATACTCTATTGAATAGAAGTTTCACAAATTACTGTATAAGGATTTTGTTCGACCTAGCAGAGGGATATTCCTTGAAGTGCTAACAATATATATAAAATAATTTTACTACTCCATGGCATAAAAAATATGGAATTTTGTCATTTTCTGTTTTTCCTTGTTAAAAAGGAACATAAAAAGGATGTTAAGTGCAAAGCCTTTACCACTACAAAATTAGAGTTGAAAAAGATAAAGAACCCAAGAAATTGCAATATGAAAAATATAAGATTTTCAGAAAAATTATCAAGTATATCAAGATTTGAAATATTTTTGAGTTCCTCGGGTATTAAAAGCACACATAGAAATATGAGGGGGAGAAAGAAAACCACACGAATGACAAAGAACAGTGCTATGATCAGTCAGCACCGTAAGTAATTTTCTTTATCCTGCCTAACAGTTGCAACATTCTGACTGAGTAGATGTATTAAATATGAATTACACTCCAGTAAATTATTTTTGCAAACTTAAAATGGCACAGTTAATAGACAGTTATTGAAGTTTATGTTGAGAATTGTGAGGACTTTTGTTTCTCTTATTGGAGAAATAGGAAGGTTTCTACAGTACAGGAGACCGGCTGGCAAATTATAACACTATTAAAAAATGAAACAGGAGGAAATTAAAATAAAATGGGAGTAATTCAAATGCTTAACTCTTCTACTATAGTACTTAATTTGCAATGTTTGATAAAGGCATTGCATTTAATATCTTCAAAAAACAAAATATACATATTCCTTAATATTTCCCAAGAAAGATGATACACTTACAGTGATACCATTATATATGTAAAGTAATTATGATGTGATACTTAAATATTTGATTTAAAATGATTTCACAAAATTATGTTCACATAAGAATTAAAATTTTACACATGGAGAAAATATTTCTAAAAATTGTCGTTTGACATACCTTTGAAACATTAAGACACTGTTTCCACAGGAAAATATTTAGACATTTTTACTACTTTAAAACGAACCATGTTTATCAAGGAGTAAATGTCATGATTATTTGTCTCTGAAATTACAGATGAGATATAGTCTAATAATTTAGATAGTATTTTTTGCTATGTATAAAATTATGTGAGACTAGATAATAAGATGACTAGATGAAACAGAAAAACTATTCTAAAATTCATTTTCATGGTAATCTAATACCTGTTTTTTTGGAAACCTTTAGTATTGATTGGTTGCATTTTTCTACTTTATAGTCCCCCTCTCATTGGTAGAAAATGTTTTAGCCAATTAGCTAAAATTATATCATTACTCTATTGTAACTTCTGATTTATTCTGGATGCAATTCATAGTTAATTACCTAACGGTTTAGCATTTTAACAAATTCTATCTTTCCTACATATTAGGTAAAATTTTCTTGTTTTTTATTGTTTCTTTTTGTAGATTAATGACATAATTAATAATTAAAATGTAAATTAGAATAACTGTTACTATGATATATAAAAAACGAATGCATAAATATATGACATGAAAAGTTTGTTCAAGGGAGATGATATACAATGACATAAAAGGCTAAATAATTAAAGAAACTTTCTTAACGTTGAATGAAAGAATATAAACATAGTATATGAAGAGAGTATAACCTTATTTTTAATGCATGTGAGAAGACAGATGGATGTGTGTTTTCCCCCATAGTTGGAAAATGATGAATGAAAGGTTTTAATTAAAGCAGAGTGATCCAAAAGAAAATCATTTTCTTGTTTAAAAAGCAATTACAACAAACAGACATTTTTTCCAGCTAAATCATATAGAAACATATCCTTATTAAAATAGTCTATCATTCAAAATATTAATGAAGTAGTGTCAAAAGTTGGAGAAAATGTTACTGCTGCACTTTGGTGAGTGTATGTGCTTTTGTGTCATATGTGATGGATTAGTTTTATGTATTTTTAAAAGGTCCCCCAAAGACTGGAACATTACACATATTATTTCAAGAGATAAAATGATTGGTATTATGACATATTAATCTCTGTAATTTGATAAAAATCAAATGAGTGATGCCAAGATACCACTCAAGTATACATATCAAGGACCTATGAAAATATGTATGTATTTTAATGTTAAATTGAAGGAAAATATTCCCATTTACATCACCATAAAATTAGATGGGAAACATTTGTTGTATGTTAACGTTTAGTGTGCTCTTTAATAATATAGCACAGTTAAAACTATTACTGAATCCAGAAGATGAATTAACAATTTAGGTAATATTTCAAAATAATCTGTAATTTGGATTGGGCAAACATTTAGAAATGTGGAAGCCTTTTTTAGAGGGGAGCTATGAGAATTCTGTTTTTTGCTCACATCCTCTGATCTTTCTCTCTTAATTAAGCAATAAACAACAGCTGGTAAAAAGAAAACCATGTAAAAGAAAGGAAAATACATCTAAATGAATTTAATAATTAACTTCATGGACATAAAAATAAAAGGCAAGCCTAACCTTTCAAGGCTGACTCGAAGAATTTTCTCATTAATAAAACACTGACTATATTTAAGCTATAAACCTTTCACATGTAAGATAATACCGAAACAATAATGTACCATATTTCTATCTCCAAATTTATGTAACTTATTTTAAATTTAGAGATCACTTATATCTTATAGTTACTCTTTACCAGTTCAGATATTTATATATCTCTATATATTCATATAGAGTTATAAATAGATTTTATATTCATGTGTCAGTGAGAGTCACACAACTATGTAAAACTATGTAAAATAAAATTCTGTGTGAGTTATATGGTTGAGGACTTCTTACAATAGTAATCTCAATTACGTATTTTACACCACAAAATGTACAGATACCCAGTGTTTGTTTTGTTTTTTTTTTCTAACACAGATACAAGTGAATTTATAGATTCTTTATAAAAGCTTTAAATGATTCTAAATTCAAAGCCATAGAAATAGAATCGAAAGAATGTAGATTGTTAGATATTTTGATGTTACATGTTCAGTGCTCTTCTGATAACATCGACAGCTATATCTTTGGCATTGAAAATTCAGTATGAGTTCTTGACAAAATTTTGTAGCTTAGAGCTTCATTTTCTTTTAAACAAGGAAAAACAGGGTTGAATAAGATGAAAATTGGGAGGGAACTATTAATGATTATTCTTTTCTTAGTAAGTTTATCTTTGGGACCCTGAATTACCTTCACTTTACTTACTATATGATGTGGACTGTATGAATCCATTTAAAAACCAACTGAATTGTACCACATTTTAGGAAAATTATGTAATATAATATATATATTTTATATTTATTTAGAAGCTTTGAAATAGTACAGTAAACACTTTGCAACACGGTGTATAAACTACAGAATGTCTTTGATATTTTGTGGGTCTTCAGAATACAACATTTTTTATAACCCACAGGTGAAAAGAACATAATCACAATCTCTCTTGTAAAGTTGGAATAGTTTGGGGAACACTTGATCACACAAAAAGAATATAAAACAGTCAAGTTTAAAACAGTGATATTGCATTTATAATGCACAAATTTCCTTTATCTTTATGACTGGCTTCTCGTGGTGAATATAAACATGTAAAGGGCTCAGTGACATTTGGAGAGAGAAAGATATATAGTGCTGTAAACAGGCACACACTGATCGGAGAGGCAAAAGCGGTTGCCTCTAAAGTTTCTACAGTTCTGCACATTTCAACTCATTTCTCAGGCCTGCTGAGAGCAATTAGGTCCTATAATTGGCCACGATGACTCCGCCGGCAATCTAGTACTCGGTTACACACAACTAACTGATGGCCAAGATAATGAAGTTGAAAAGTTGATGCTTTTGTTGGTCGACTTTGTGCAAATCATGCTGCTTCAGGTAAATCCTGTAGAATTGACTAGCATATCCTTTTCCGTGCTGTGAAAAAGAAAGAAAAATACTCTAAGAAAAGAAGCCTGGGTTTGGGAGTTTAGAATCGCATGTTACCGGAAAAGAAACAAATACAGCTGGAAATAAGTTGTGTCCCTATACCAGACTCACGTGGTGTCAAAGTACTTCAGTGTTAACCTTGGTTTCTAATAGTCAAGTTGCATGGCTTTCTAAGATAGCTTTCTAAAAATGCCAATTTTGGTATTTTAGAAAATGACTTTTGTGTGGGCAATGTATACTTTATGTACCAACCACCAATTATGTGGAGATTAAACTTTTAATGCAGTTTACATACAGAGCAATCCCTAGTTCACCACTTATGCATGAAGAGTATAGAAAAAAATGTGTAAACATTCTAGAACGAGCCTTTAAAATATCTACAAATAACTGGTTATATGTTCAATAGAAAAAATTCCAAATTATATATACTAAATCAACATATCATACAGAAAACTGTACCAGAAAATGTTTATGTAGTTAAAAGGTTAAAGAATGCTTCACATTTTCTAGTTTTATTTCATTATTTATATTGTGTAAAAACCAAACTTTTTAATGTGTACAGAAAAAAACTAAACTAAATTTATCCGCTAAATGGAACAAGTTTTCATATAAAGAAAGTAAAGGTGAAAGGAAAAAAAAGATATGGGATTTGGTCCAGTCTTATAAAATGTATTGAATTATGAGGTAGAATTTCCAAATTCAATCATTTAGATTTTATGATTTTAAGTATTTTATTTATTTGTAATGATAATGGATATTTCTTCTCACCTCTCTATACCGCTATATTGGGGAATGAGAACAATGAGAACAGAAACTGCCTTGTCTAGGACAGCAACTGCACACAATAGGTATATAATGAAAATGTGCTGAAAGTAGTGTTCAATTGTGATAAAAAGCAATTATATATATGTGACTTTAATTATATATATATATACATATATATATAAAATTAAAAGTTAAGAACTGCAATAAATGGCATAACTGGGCTGTTTCAATCTGGTAAATGGTTGGCTTTTGTGCTTCCTTTTTTTTTTTTAATACAAATATAATAACATACTGGTCAGTTCAATTCCTCTTCTATGGTATTTCCATTAATTTCAAGTAGATTATCTAGTTAATATATTTTTCGTAATTTATTTCCCCAAGTCTCTCATTTATCTTTCCTCACAAACTCAGTTGCTGATCAGATCACCAAACATTTCTTCCCTAGTTCACCATTTAGCAGACAGGTCAATTAAAATTGTAGAAGTCAGGCACTGCAATTGACAGAAATAAAGTGAAAATGAATATTTACATGTCCTGGGTAGTAACTCGTATTGAACAATCAAAATATATGTATTTTTTAGAATATTATATAATATCATGAATTTCAGAACGAGTTAGCTACAACACAGGACTTCATGGTAGTTATTATAACTTACCTGGTCATAATACTATTGAAGAAAATAGAAATTTTTCCTTTTAAATAATCAAATCCTATTTTCCTATGTTCCTGAATTTGAATTCCCTGTTTCATGATAAATGTGAGTATATATGATTTAAATATATTTTGTTTACACCAATCAGAATTTAAAATTCTTCAGTAAATTACAATAATAAAGCACCGTAGATATTCAGGTTTATAAGATGAATCAGAACAAATAATTACAGCCATCAAATAATTTATTGTCTAAACCGAACAATTGTGTGAGTGAAAGGAAGCACTTGTGCTTCCATGGACAACTTGGGACACATGGACACCCTATAAATAATACTACTTTTCTCAAAATAAGGTGAGGACGAAGCTCTTTTCTTAAGGTACTGATTTATAGGAAACAACTTTCCAGTAGTCTGAGGACAAAACACACTCAAGAGTGACCTATCCTCAACCTATAGAGTAATTTATCATGTGTAAAAATAAATATACTGAAAAGCTACATTGTAGTATAATGCAGAAATTAGTCAACCTAACACATATTTAAATCAGTAAACTATTTCTAATTAGGTTAAAAGATTACTTACGGAGAAACCTTTTAGCATGGATTTTATATGTTTATTTGATGTAGTAAAAATACAAAAAGAAATTGTATTACTGAAATAGTTCAGAGTTTTAAGATCACAGAAGTTTAGCACACATTATACTTGATATCTTAAATCACAGCATAAACTTAAAATCCATATTTTAGTTACTGCTTAAAGTAACATGTGTGCCGCTTTTATTTAAAGTGTGCCTATTTCAGGTAGTTGTATGAATAAAATAACCGCTATTAAATTACCTCCTTCCACCTATCTGTTAGTTCAGGAATGCAAATCTGAAAAGAACAAATGTAAGGGCTGAAGTTGAAGGTCAGAAAAAAGTAGGATGGGGAGGAAAGATTGCCTCCATTTCAGAATCATATTTCCCAGATGTGAAGTACTGCCAGATAAGCTACAGAAAATGAAATATTATTACTAAAGTTATAGTCACATACATTTTGTTTCAAGCCTTTTATGAGCTGATTTTGAATACTGAATATTCATTGTCCTTGGGGGCTGTCTGGGTTAATGTTGGACAAGTAGCACAAACAAATATGTATATATATTTTTATAGTGATATAAAATATGTATATATTTTATAGTGATATAAAATATTTAATTATATATATTTATAAATATATAAAAGCAATGTTATTACATTTTAGAGTCAGTACCAAGGACAGTTATTCCAGTGTTAACTATTATGGCTATGCATTTACTGAAACATTTCAGGCAGGAGAGAATGGGTCAAATACACTGAATCTCTATGCTTTATGATATATTCTACATATGTTGTGGAATTATGAAAGCATACTTGAAAATTTTCTGCTTTTTCTCTTCAGTTCACAAATGCATTTTCCCCCTAGCTATTTATCAGCATATGTAAGGAGTTGGTCACTTGCTATAGATGAAAGATTTTCTTTTCAGTCATATCTAAAGTAACAGGCAAAGGACTGTTGGTATTCCTTTTTATTTCTATTTGTTCATTCACTGAATTTATTCTTCAGAGTGAGTCATAGAAATCTTACATTTAAGACACTTATCTTATTGCCTGAACTATGGATTAAAAAAATCATTCTTAATGGAAAAGAGATATTCAAATATCTACTTTTTAATAATTTTTCATACATATATGTATATATTTCTAACATTATAGGTATGTATATATTTAACACATATATTTTTTAATGAAACTTTTATGATGAATATTTTCTTTTATATTGTGGAATCCTGTTATTGCCTTTGATCATTTGGAAAGTATGATATTAAATATCAGGACATTTACAAATTCTGATTAATGACCTAAGAAAAATGACTATAAGCATGTATATTACAGAAATAATTGTTAAAATAACAGGTCTGATAACCTATTTATACCATGAATAATATTATAATTTGCCTGCTGAAAAATAATTTGGTATATTAAAATGAAAATTAAATAACTGTAGCATTCACATTTCTATAACAGGAAGCAAGTTATCCTTTAGATTTTACGACAGTATCAACCACACAAGCTAAAGAAATAAATACACGTGTGAAGTGATCTAACCTAATTCTGTGACTGAAAGAAAGAACAGCCTTCAAATATCCCAAGTGATTGAGATTCCACTGCAGTGAAAAACTTCCAGAGACTGATATCAGTAACCTACTTCAGAGTGCATTCAAAAGTTTAATGAGCCTCAAGGTCAGGACACTTCTTTATAAGTAAAGTGAATCTAGCAGACACAAGTTAAACCCCTTCTAGAAGTCAGAAACACCTGCCCTCTGTTTCCTGAGTAAAAGCATATCATAAACTGAAAGATCGTTTAAAAGGAAGTCTCCATTAGAGATCTGTCCAGCTGAAAAATCAATTCATTTAACTTTCCTCTATCTTACTCTTGAGCCATTTTTGAGGATTCTCTTTAAAAATCTCTCTATTTTTTTTTTCTTTTTAACTGTAAAGTCCAAAAAGAAGCATGGTAGAGGTTACTATTAAAACTGGGTCACTGCTTGATTTGTCTTTTATCTTCTCACTTGAATGGCATTATATTTGTTTTTATAATTTAAGATATAATCATACATTGTCCATATTGTAAATACTTTCCTTTTCACAAAAGAAGTGACAAAAAGGTTTTAAATTTTAAGATCCATAGAAGTCAAAAACTGATTAAACGCTAAAACTTATTATAAATTATAAAAAGAATGAAAACCTTTTGTTAATATATATTTTTTGTCTGATAGCACTAGCTTAGTGCAGCATAAACTTGAATTCTTACATTTATTTCATAATATTCACACCATGCTCACGCTAAATGTCCTTTTTTTCCTTCCATCAAACAGTATGCTTTTATTTTAGCTTGACAGAGTTAAGGGATTATGGAAAATATTTAGAAAACAAGAGTTCATCTAGAGAAGGCGGTTCCCATATGTAAACTGGATTAGTTTTTTAGAAAGAAAATTTATGAAATAGACTCAAACAAGCCTTTAGAACATTCATGCAAGAAATATGTATTGAGTCCAAGTGTTTAGTTTAGTCTTTTGTGTATATAATGCTTACAATGTAGTTTGCAATTAATAAACATTTATTAAAAGTTAAATACATGGGTATTTGAAGAGATAAGCAATTGGCAAGTGTAGTTTTGTGGTATAGAAACTTACACCAATGAATGAGCAAAATGGATCTTTTCTGAGAGAAGACTAGTATGTTGAATATTAATTTTCGGAAATATTAAAAAGACAACCAGCATTTGTCTTTTTCATCTTTCAAAACGTTATCACTTGGACCAAATTCCTAAACAGAAGCCTCATACCTAATCTAATTGCAGTTTCAAAGTCCCCCCAAGAAATGACGTGTTAACCAGCAGTCAGAAGAAACTTTTCTTTTCCATTAGCGAAAAGAATATTCCTATTCCATTAGGGCCACAAGGGCCTTCTCCCTTCCCCAAGGAAGATGAGGTAATTTGCATGATAAACCCCTTTCTTATCCCCCCCACGGGAAAGCAGCCTTGCCTGAA